TTTGACTAATGAAACTTTGTCGGTTGTTACAGCTGCAATCAGGCATTTCTTATTTAGTTGTTCTCTTGAGGTGCATTATGTAAAAGCCCACTTTTTAGATTATTTGAAGTTGGTAGAATATTTTCTCGTCATTTGACAAAGGATCTTATTGCTTACATATCTTCTAGCTACTACTCAAAAGTTTCATTGTTTCTATATTTATTCATTCTTTGACTACTAAGACAAAATCTTCTCTCTGTTTCCTTTCTAAGAGATGACCTTTCACAAGTTTTGGTCCTCCTTCCATCAGAGCCAGTTATTTTGGCTTTAGCCTCATTTTTAAGCCATTTTTCTGATAAAGGGAAAAATAAGCTTGTGAGGACAAATCTATCTACTTAGTTGATTTCTGAAACTCTTGCAAAAGAGCAAAATCAAGAGCAATACATGATCATCATATTTTGTTACGATGCATGGCATTTACTTCCCATCTCCCTATTTCACTCCTACTCACCCTCGGCATCCTTCCACACACGGATGACACACCCTGCCCAAACCAATTCAACCAAGAGATGTTAATGAATTGGATTCCAATCCATATCCAAGATCGTGTGATTGAGTTGGTTCTTCGTTACTAAAAAAATTTATAACCACTCCCGTCCTTCTACTACAATGATGAAGATTTGGATAGTGAAGTTTTGAAAATATCCTTTCTTCAACAACGATTAACAGAAAAATTTTGAACATCTAAAATAAAGTTTTATGGAAGTTTTTGGAAGAGTGGGGTTTCCGGTGATATTGAAGGAATTTGTGTAACAGTTAAGATCCCTTAAGTTTCGGTTGTGAAAGTAAAAATATAGGAATCGGTTCTCATTCTACTGAAGAGGGTATTTTAGAGATTATATACTTTTTGACTTAAAAAAGGTACCAACCTCCTTAAAACCTTTTTTCAATTGGCGGGAAAAGAAACGTCAGTCACAGCGGGTCGAATGGGTGGCCCCAAATATATGTTAGGAGCCTTTGCGACCTAACGGACGTTCAATATCTGGCTAATGGATCTGTAGTCCAGACAATAAATTATAACTTTCTATGAAAACTGGCTAGGCCACATCCAATTCTCCCCTCATTGGCTTACTTGACTGTGCGTGGCATCGAGTTTTAAGTGGGTCCAATAAGGCCTAATTATTGTTGGATTGAATGTTAATAGCAAAAACCTATATTTATTTTGGCCTGAAAATCTAGCCCATGAGGCCCTGAGTTTTCACTTGGTCTTCTAAAAAGTCCTCCCCTCCCTAAGACCTAAAACATAATTCCGTCTATGGAGCCTAAAACTTCAACCATGGCATGGCACTAAACTGGCCTAGTCTCTCGCCCAGCCCTCACCTTCTTCGGTGGCCAAGTTGAAGCCTTCAACGATTCTTCAGCTTGCCACCTTTCTTTTTTAAGGTTGAGCTTCTTCAATTGAAGCTTCGATTTTGAAAATTCAGTAATAATATGCTATATGAGAAAACATTACTTAGTAATTATATTCAACTTTCCTAGTGTTTAGAGTCAGCTAAATGATTGAAGTTTTTTTTATAGAACAAACAAAAATAAAAATATGCAAATTACCCGCCTTAACAGCAGAATAAAAGGCAAAAATTTGTTTAGTAAGTTCACATGCACAAATCTAAAGGTTAGGCCCTTTTTAAAATAGTGAGAGGATTGGTTATCGAACTTTTTGACTTGGTATCATTTCTGCAGCATGTTGGGCTCTTGGGGCAGCCCTTCGGTAAAGCCCCAAACACATTCGAGATTTAAAAAAAAAAAAAAATCACAATCAGGGGTATGAGGGAGCACGTGCAGACTTACACCATAATACTAGACTGTCAAAAAGAGAAACAAAAAAATGCATTAAATAATGCAACGCTTATTTGGCAAAATAGTTTGATTTCATTTTTATTTATTTAAATTTAAATTTAAATTTTGCTTATTATGTCAGCACTGTATCATTTTATAATTTTTATTTATTTAAAATTTAAATTTTGCTTACTATGTCGGTACTGTATCATGTTATAATTTTTTTTTCAATTTATCATTTACCTAAATATAAAGACAACATCTATACATTGTCAATGATTATACGACATGCAACAGTAATTGTGCCTTCTTTTTTTTTTTTGTGATCAAGGGATAAATTCTAAAACTTCTACTTAAAAACAAAAGTGTCAAAACGTCACTTAACCTACACACACTCAAAGGCTATCCGATGTGATTTGTGCCTTGTTTGAATGGCAAGAAAAATCTCCATTGGAAACTTCCACCAAAAATTACTTCAAGTTAAAGTCATGTTAGACCTACCTTTTACGGTAAACTCTGTTGCTGTTGTTTTGCTTTTTACTGGAATATTCATTGTTGCAAATCTCTCTTTCTCTAATAAGAGTAGATCCTATCATATCTTACTTATATTGACCAACCACAAGAGGTGAAGTTTTTACACTTTGTATTGACAAATCAAACAAATTGTCTTTTACTTTCCAACCATCCTCAAATGTCAAATCATAGAATTTGGAGAGTTACTTGTTGTTCCAAACACTCGAACAGATCGATCCAATGTTTTGTAGAGCAATCATATGGGCTTTGGAAATGGGTTTCTTGCTTCCCAAATTGGATGCAATAGCTAAGAATTTCTCTCCTTGAGAGGGATCCACATCACAATCCATGTGCTCCATTATAGTATCTTTTTTGTCTCCGTCATGGCCATTTGTCTTGGGCATCACAATCCTCACTGCTGTCATTATCACGTAAAAATCATCGCTACTATAATAGGAGAATATCATTACAGGATCAAAAAAAGTTTGACATGTAAATGAGATTTTAGTGGATCAAAAAAAGATCAAATTTACACAACTAAGGTTGTAAATTAGATGGGCTGCAAGTTGTAATATACTTGATTCGAATTTATTTAGAAATCGAATTCAACACATACTCTTCAACTCAATATTGCATGCTTATGTATTTTAACTGGTTTTATATGTCATAAAAATTTGTGTTTGATTCTCACGTTCAAAATACAAGTTTAATTCAAAATGAACGGGTTGACTCTGATTTTTAATAATTTAGAGGTATCAGGTTTAATCAATTTCTACGGCTCTTAAGGGCTAGTCACTTTTGTTCTTTAGGAACATACTCTAACCAAACTCAAGTTACGATGGCCACCACAGAATTCGAGGTAATAGTCAGCGTAAGTCTAAACACTTTGTAACAAAAAAAAAAAAAATCAACTTTGGTTAAATTTAAATTTAATGTTTCAATTATACAACTCGAACAAAAATTTGGGTTTAACTTGAGTTCTACCCTAATTCATTAATTTATGCTGAATTTAAATGGATCACCAGAACCGATTCGATTCACCCAAGTATTGTCTAAATTAAATCAAATTAAAATTCTTTGGTTCAAGTCTAACTTGAAAGCCAGAAAAATTATCAGTTAAAATATTAAACCTTTCGGGTTTGGTTTGGATTGATTTGCCTATGATACACCTTATTCTTGGACACGTACGTACCTACACCCACAAACAAATTGTAGAAGAGCTTAACAAATAAATTGCAAAAGCGACCTGACCTAACATGAATACCCATGCCTTGTGATATTGAAAGGCGTAGCAAACAGAAAGAAGTTGCTTCACCTCATGGAACTCTTATCTCTCCCCTATCTTCAAACTACATGTTTGATGTAAAGCTTTGGCACCTTTTACATTGTTCATCAAATGAATAAGAATCACTGTCCAACACGTCTCCTCATGCTGGTGACTTCAAGCATTGATCATGACACGCACAAGCCGGAAAGCATAGAGTTTTCCTAGTGGAAGTCGGAATTTACAGTTATTTACAGTTATTACCATCTCGAAAAATTATTTTTCATATTATAATTTTATTTTTTGTCCAATAAAAATGTGACGCGTAATTTTATCTTTTTATTATTTTCAACTCTTTTTTATAGTCGGGGGTTACAAATCATTCAAAGAAAAAAAGGACAACAGATCTTGCTTTGGAAATGGTTATGGTTTTCCCACAAATCTTGCTTCCCATTTCGAATGCCTTGGTTTCCAACACCCATGCATGTACACATCCCTGCTCTCTAGAAGGGATCAACATCCGCATCACCCATGGTTATTTTCTCTGTTTCCGTCGTGGCTATCGTCATTGTCATCATTATCATCACTTCCAATCACCATGATGTATAATTTATGTGAATAGCATGTTAGCTGACTCAATCCATCACCATATTACCACATAAAAAAATCTCATAAATAATGACAGATATTTTATACGAGCAATAATATTATTTGAGCATAAAAATTTGACTTGATATAATTTTATTAAAATTATTGAATTAACAATAAATTTTAATATTTGATGGGACTAACCGTCAATGCAAATGTCATAATAAATTTAATCTGTAAATTAAATCAATACATTAAATCTCAATAATATTACTGATATTATAGGGGGGGGGGGGGATAGAGTTGTGATTTTGTAGGAGATCTTCATGAAATCGTAAATGTGCAAATCCCAAGGTTTTACAAGTCAAAAGGAGGGATCCCACTAATTTTCTTCAATTGGCTCAACAAGTTGTAATAATGAGATGGTTCACTACTTTAGGGTTTATTGGGCAATAATGAATGGGGGAGTGGTGTAAAAAACTATACTTTTGGCAACTAACACATGCTCTAATTATCTAATTTGAATTGGGAATTAGAATTAGAAATGTCCACTTCATGTTATTCTAGAACCACTTTGAACATTATCAACAAAAAAAATTAATATAAAAATCATAAAAAAACAAAAACAAATAAAGAAGAGAGAGAAAAGAACAGTAGAAAGGAAAAGAAAATAATGGATGGTTGATCTCAATTCAAAGCTCCCTCCTTCCAAAAAATTTGCCCTTGTGATCTAATAGAAGGATTTACCAAACATTTGGTAGTTTTTGTTTTGTATTTTTATTTAATGAAAAAATAATTGTCAAATAATAAAAATATATTCTATAATTATATTATAAGCGATTTATATTTGTTCTATTATATATATAACATAATTATACAATGCAAATATATGCTGCTCCACGCACGATTAAGCATGGAGAATATAAATTCGATAAAAAGCAATAAATATACAAACCAATTAAAATTTCACTTAAAAAGTCAAAAAAAAAAAAGGTTAATCGTATCTTACATTCCTACAAAATAAAGGGTAGGAAAACATAATTTGTTATTTTCGTGTTACATTAAATTTCCATTGCCTTCTTGCTTCTTATATTTTTCATAGTGATCAAGGCTTTTCATGAATTTTTAACAAAGTGGTCTGGCAACAACCTTACAACAACAAAAATAAATAAATAAATAAATAATTTGGTTATGAGGTAGCCAAGAGAATCTTCGACCTTATTTATATAATAATGGACGGTGAGAACATAAATGAATATAATTGTCACGCATAGCTATATTTATTTTATTTTTTTATGTAACAATTAGGAGTGTCTGGACTAATTTACGTATATTTCAATTAATTTTTTCTCTGATTCAGTCAAAGACAAATCATCTACGCCGAAATTAGGGTATTTATGAGAGATAAATCTCTCGTAGTCTAATCTTAAAGAATTATCAATATTTAAATTCAAAACGTTTGTGTTTATAAATTATATGTGTTACCTTGAGCTACCCTTAGAATTGCATAACTATTGTTTATTAAGCCATGACTATTATGTCTTTAATGCTCTGTGCTACAATTTGTTTATATTATACAAGAAGAGAGGGCACACATTCATTGAACAAAGCTTTGTCTTCACACCCAATTACCAACATTAAAGCTGACTTTTATTGGAGGGTGCAGGTGCAGGTGCATCCGGAGCCAGAGACACCCCCTATTTATTAACTATATATATATATGTAGTTATTTGTTTTATATGATGAGTCTCATCGTATCAAATATCCGTTTCCTATTGACAGTATTATACTCCCATTGTTTTGAACTCATCTGGCAATTGCTAATTAGCAATGACGGATCTATGGGGACCGCTAAAGATTTTCAAATTTTTTGTTTCCGTATGAGATAAATACACAAGCTATGCTTCAAGTTTACTCCTCAAATAATATATTTTAGACTTAAAAATTTAATTTATTGATTTAATTATGTGTAAAAAGTGATATAGTTCTAAAAAAAATTTACTACTATGATAATGTTACTGAATCATATTAGCTGGCACTTAAAATTACTCTTAATACTTTATATTCACTTTCTCTCCTCGATGCTTAAAAAATTATATTCAACTTCGACGCAACATAATTTAATTGTTACCCTTAATCAAAATCAGTCATTTAAGATAGAGTGGAAAAATTGCATATAGCTAACTACTACCTCCACAAAGAGGGGCAGAGAAAGGAGAGAGAGAGAGAGAGAGGAGTGTAGAATTTTGGTCTAAAATGAACATCTGGGGCTGTTTGTTTGAGGGATATGGGTGGAATAAGAGGATGGTATAAAGAAAATAGTACGTGGGGTCTATTTTATACTTTGTTTGTTTGATAATTTTTACTCGGTATTATTTTTCAAGTTATAGTACTAAGCCAGTGTGAACAGTAATTTTTATGCCTTGTATATGGTGCTAAGCAATATCACCTATCCGGTGGTATTATATTCTTCGTACAAATAAAATGGATGTATAAGTGAATAAAATGACACAAATGTTCTCTTATGTGAAGAGTTCACATATAAAAAATTTATTTTGAATTTTTTTTCTTATATTATATTTAAGCGTACGATGTCACTTTTTAAAAAAAAAATTTTAAAAAATTTTAATTTTTTTTTTCTTATATTATGTTTAAGTGTACACTATTAACAATTTTTTTTAAAAAAAAATTATTTTAAATTTTTTTCCTTTTATAATGTTTAATCGTACGGTGTTAAAGGATTTTTTTTTAATTTTTTTTTAAAATTCTTTTATTATGTTTGAGTGTACGGTGTTAACGGTTTTTTTTAGTTTCTTTTTAAATTATTTTGAATTGTTTTTTGGTATTATGTTTAAGCATACGGTGTTACCGGTTTTTTTTTAAAATTTTTTTTTCTTGTATTATGTTTAAGTGTACAATGTCATCATTTTTTTTTTTAAATTATTTTGAATGGAATGGATGATGTTAAGGGTAAAATAATATATTTGTTATATAAGATGTGATAGAATATATGATTGTTTGTGGTACCCATTATAATATTTATTGAACAAACAAATAAGGGAAAAGATGAGATAAAAAAATTAAGACTAGATATAATATACCATTAGATAAGAATAGAATAAAAATAATTTTTAATACCACTTAAATTTAATACTCCAAACAAACATGCCCGGATTATCACGTAGGATTTGGTGGGATTAACCGAACCGGTACAAGATGCCAAACGTTGTTCCCTGTTGTTGACCTTGTGCGAATACGTCCAAACTCAAATGTGGGGCAAGGCCCATCATTTTAGATTTACATTAAAGATAAGCCCCAAAAGATATAGAATAGAATAGAATAGAATTAGGTAGGAGAATAAAGACACACACAAAGAGACTAGGACACAAAATAAAAATGAATAGTAGAGAAAGAAACTGAGGGGGAGGGGGAGGGGGAGGTGGTGTAAGGCAACACGGCAATATGTTTGGTATGCCGTTTGTGTTGCACATGCTTAGCCACCTTCCTACGCGACAACTAATGCGTAAGCGTCCAAATTTACAACCATATTATAATTAAGTTTTTTTTTATTCTTTTATTTTGTAAAAATATATGC